GGGCACATGGTGACGGCGCGCCAGGAGCCGCGGCTGGTCGTCATCTCCGTCGGCTGCGAAGACGGGCACCTCACCTTGGACGCCCCAGAAATGGAGACGCTGAGCCTGCCCATAAAGCTCCCCAGGAAGAATCCCGTGCGGAACTGCAGGTACGAAAGGGGGGCTTCTTCCACGCCCTTCTGCCTAAACCCCGTCTCCTTCGCGCTTTGCTTCGCAGGACGACGTGGCCGTTGCGTTCCCTGGTGCAGGAGTTGGAGGGCGCGATGCTCTGCCCTGTGTTACGCAGCAGGCTGGGGCTGGTTGTCGTTGTGAAAGATCTGGTTCTGATCTGCTAAACTCTGGTGAAAACAAATGTCAGGAAAAGATGACGCAGTATTCAGACACCATGCGTTGCGCATCTGCCAGATGAACTGTGATCTTCGGTCCTCATAGAACGTGTTTACTCATTTGTGTTCACTTCGAGTGGTTTTAATTTTTGCTTGGGTGAGCGGTTGCGTCTCAGAGCATCAGTCATGCCTGTTGGTATTTCTTGGTCACCACTAGTATATGTGTCAGCATTTTTGGATGCACACTGGCCGTTCAGAATCAGTGAGATGTTGGGGCTGAGATTCCCTCGCCCCTGTCTGTAGGCGTGTAACTGAGGTGCCTACATTAATAACTTGGTTGCCTGAGGCTTGCTCAGTGGTTGCTGGGGAAAGGTGGGCATCCCCAGAAGGCAAGTAATTCCTTGTAGGCAGCTATCTCAGAGGGCTTCCAGGTCAGTGGATTACGAAGGTAGGCATTTAGCCACGTGCCTGGAGTTACCTCGGATGAATGCAGGCCTAGTTGTTTTAGCCATATATTGAAATCTATGCTGGAAAATTGCCAATGAGGAGCAGAAAACCTTTTCCCTATTAAAATATCTAATATGTGAGACTGTTTACCAACTGGAAATGGTGTTAGCCCATACAAAGATACTGATAAATGTTTTTCCTTTGGATAGCGGAGAAGGTTAACGTAATATCTGCTGTAATTAAAACTAAAAGAGTGCTGGGAAGGAACTGCATTCACTCCTTCTGGCACAAATCTGTTGCTGAGGAAACCCTCAATCAGCATAGCTCAGTATCTCTGTTTATACAAGGCAGGTGCAAGTTACAAATTATAGCATTTCTCATGGAGAAATGGGACCGTCTTTTAAAAATCTGTAACGTGTAGATGTTAGCCAATGACACATACACTATGAAAGTATGCATTTTTCAATATGCTTCTTTCTAAAATTTGTTCTGCCATTAGAAAAATACCTAAATAGACTCAGTAATGAAAAATTATCTTGGATTTTCCAGTTTTAGGTCCCAGTGATTTGGATTTCTCTTGGTGTTTCCTTCCTTTGCCTTAATAAACTGTTGCAGTCTCTGGCTTTCAAACTGCTAGAATTTGGGAATGCAAGTAAGCCAATGTTAGATGTATGTAAATGGACTTTAAAAATTACCAGGTTGCCTGGTGTAGGTGGTGTCATAGGATGTGCAGTTAGCAATACCCATAGTTAAACATTGCCTCATACTTTTTGGGAGGAATCCTGAGGTCTTGTATGACTCTGCTGTGCCTAAAGAATTTGCTGTTTGTCAGCTGAAGGCTGGTTCTTTCTGATCCATCCAGCCGTTTGCAAGTATGAGGTTTGGGAATAGTACTGTAGTCAGGCCAATGAAGATCTGGCATTTGCTCTTAGATTCTTCCCTTCCTGCTGGTGAGTGGGAGTAGCTGTCTCGCCGCGTGGTACGCTCTGCCGGCAAGGCCTTCTGCACAGACTTGCATTTCTTCTGCCGCTGGGCGAGCCTGACGCCTTCAGACTGGTGCTGGCTGGTGCCCCGTAGTTCGGAGCTAAGGTGAATCCATGGTGTGGCTGGCTGCAGAAGGCTGTGCAGACATTAGTTTTTAAGTCCAGTTGCAGATTTTACATGGATATTTAAAAATCCTGTGTTTGGGGGAGTGAAATGTAGGACTGAAGCCATTGTGTAGGCACAGTTTCTATTTGTGCAAATGTTAGAGGGTTTCTGTAGCCCTCTGGTTAAGCAGCCTCACATTCTCCCTTTGTACACTTTGTCAGTATGTGTTGCAATATTTACATTGCATGATCTGTTCCCATGGATCCCCATGCCAGGGAGTGCTTGGGTTAGATCTGCTTTATGAGTGGAAAATTGTAGTGTTGGAAGCTCTGAGACCCTCACCTCTGTTGTCCTGCCAGCCAGAAGGCACTCGGGGACTGAGAGAATGGAGGGAACAGAAAAGCAGTTGCGTGCTGTATGGGTCAATGGCGTTTAATCCCGACCTGTGTCACAGAGCTGATACAGGGATCCCAGCAAACAGAGCTGGGATGTTGCTGACAGCACCTTAATCATTCTTCTCTCCACCAGATGGGTGAAGGATGGCTCCTAGGAGCTGGGCTCAGGCCAGATGAACTGCCTGGGCACCTCTGCGCTTTAAGCTGTCCAGGATATGATTGCAGAGGTAGAGGAAACAGCAGTGTGTTTGCATCAGAATTGCTACTTTGAAGAGAGTAGTAAAACTGTTCGTGACTGGTGTTGAAGTTTATTGAAAGGTTGAGTTGAGGTTTACTTTTTCTTGCCAGGAAAGTGTCCCTTGCGTAAACGTGTTTGTATTCTGCTGCCAGTGGCTTTTTATGCCCCGTGGACTTTGCTTCCGTTATAAATCTTTAACATGTCGTAGCATATAGAATAGCTCTGTAGCCTGAGAGTTTCGCTGAGCTCTGGCTATGTTTTTACAGCACTAAAATCTGAAGGAAAGCTTTCTCAACAATCAGACATTTACAGTTAACAACATTTGTAAATGTCAATTACAGTAACTAACCACATCCTTTCAAATTGTCCTTCATTTTCTGAAATTAATTACCTTTCAGTTGATTTTGGGACAGAAATTTTTTGATGTTGCAGTCACATGCAAATGCAAGAGTAGACCCTTTTTTGTTTGTTTATTTTTGCTTGAAAGTACGAAAAACAGGTAGGTTTGTTACTGTCATTGATGTGATAGTTAGCTCTGGGCACCTAAAGGCTATTTCATGGCTCATTCTTTCACCAGCTGGTATGGTCCCTCCATGGCCATGTCACTTAACTTCCAAAACAAGGCAACCACGAGGAGATTGTGTGCTAGGAATGATCCTTGCACCACATTCAGAAACTAACTTCCACCTTGTCGTAGTTCAGGTGGTTTGTTTACTGTATCTTGCTGCTACTTTAAAACAAGTTGTTTGCCTTTGAATAATGAGCATGCTTGAGGCTTTGGCTCTCCAGCTAACTTGTTTTTGTGTCTTGTGCCTCTTCAGGGTGTTTGGACTGGATATCCAAGGCAGGGACTGCGGAGATGAAGCGGCTCGGTGGATCACCACTTTCCTGAAGTCAGAGCCGTGTCGACTGGTGCACTTTGAGTCCTCCATGGTGCCAAGAAAGTCAAAGGACATAATAAACCTTTTCCGAACCACAGATGAGGTAAATGAATGTTCTTTTTCACATAAGTACTTTCTTTTAACCATTTCCCACCCATCCACCGAAATCCGCCCATTCCGTCATTGGTGATTGAGCGCAGCTTAGCGGGGTGTGTAGTCAAGTACTTAAAACACATGAATAATCTGCTTTTCTATGATGACATAACTTGCTTAAATTTTACTTTAAATCTCTTCTAAGCTATTGACCATTCACAGCTAAAGAGTCTGATACTGATATTTGAAGAGGAACTGTTACATTGCAGAATAGCATTCCTTTTGTGCCTCAGTGAAGAGAAAAACATTACATTTTTAAAGATGTTTTGATGGTGTAATCTGTGTTGCATAGAAAATCTCTATTCCCTATCCCTTGTTAGGACTGGGAGTGTACTAATAAGAGTTGTGTTACCTTGGATTTTGTTTAAAGGAAAGGTGCTCATCCCAGGTGTCTATAGTTGTGGTCCTAGGAATTAAAATATAAAGAAGGTTACTGAGGTTTCATCTCTTTCTG